ATTTTACATTACAGAACATTGTTGTTTGACCTTTACAGTAAGGTCTAACGTCAATTACTTATATGTATTAATAATTTTTCTAATTAGGATAACATCATTTTTTATTTTATTTTTTGTATTAGAAAGCATTCTGAATTTATCATTAATTACTGCTCTTGTGTTTCCTAGGAATTTGATAAAGACAATATTCCACCGAAGGTTATTGCCCAGATAAGAAAAGATTTTATCAGCAATCCGGAGTTCCAGCCAGCTGTCATTAAGAATGTCTCTTCAGCCTGTGAAGGGCTTTGTAGCTGGGTCAGGGCCATTGAAGTCTATGACAAGGTTGCCAAGGTAACAACTGTGTCCTAAGATTCTTTGTAAGCATCAAAGTTTCATTTTGTTAAATTTGTATAGGCAAAGCAGCATTGATGAGATGAATGTTAATAAAGTATAAGAACAGCTTATTATCTTATTCATGTATACATATTACTGTTAGTAATATATAGTGTAATATATAGCAGAACTATAAGATACATAACTATATTATAATATAGGTCCTGCAATTTCATGTTGCCCCATTTTTGGTGCTATAAATGTAGTAGGTATTTAATTTACTTCATAGAATGGAGATCAACATAAATGCTGTCTATATAACAAACATTTTAGGTTGAATAACTAAAACATATTGATAAGAATTTATCAAAACTGGAGCAGATAAAATCTGGAGCAGTTGCCCAGGGCAACCAATCAGTTTCTCTCTTCAGTTTGTTCAGTTAAGGTCTGAAAAAAAGAGAGACAAGCCCCTTTGTCCATGTGCACAGCTGCTCCAAATTTTGTCTGATCCCGTTTTGATAAATACCCCTCTCTGTATGTGTATTAATATATATTAATATAATATATATTAATTAATAGTAATGGATCAACTGTTGGGGTTGAGGAGGCCATCTCAAACCAGTGAAGGAACAGGAAATGTTAAAACTTTGCTCTTTTATTTGTAAAGCAAATGCATGATAAATAAATGTACAGAAATTAACAGGATACATACTTTTGTAGTGCTACCCCCGTAGGAGCCGCTGGTAGTAACGGGTCTTTCTGTCACCCCCGCACCAATGCACCGCCCAATTGGTGGATCCACCGCTCACCAACACACCTTTTGTAGAGTTTCTTTTTGTAAAGGATTTAATGGCTGAATAACACAAAATAGTCTCTTAATGATGTAACAATACCACACTACACAATATGAGCTAAATCAATGCACTCTGACACCCAGTGACTGTTGCTATCTATGGCCTATGCAGACTCCTGTGACGTCAGACTGTACTCAGGAGCAGTTATAAATGTAGAGAACTCCAACAACAACACCTCCCTTTGGGAGTATCACACCTCACTAGACTACTGGCCAGTATCAATGTCCTAGACTATCCAACGTTGGGGCCCATATTGTGTAGCAGCTGTGTAAAAGTAAATAGTCACATTGGCCATTGGCCTCTCACCACACCCAGGGTAGTTCTGCACAGGATGATGTCTTCCCACAGTTGTATGTCGTTTCGCTGGAACAGAGACATATACTTAGGAAAGAGATGTCATCTAGGGTTCTTTGCAGCGCATCACCGCTCGTCTAGGTCCTGGGACACCTCACTGCACGTCTAGGGTCATCTTGGGCTTCCGGTAAAGATCTCCACTCCATTCCGATCGCTCTGCTGGGCTGCCTAGATCACTCCCAGGCTACATCAGCTCCTCCGCCCAGGTTGTAATGTCCCCGCCGTTGACGCGTCACTCGGCCCACATTCAGACACCCGATCTCCGTCCCTTCGTCTCACAGACGAACAGAATGTCTCTCTAACACGGCAGCACAGAGTCTGAGTCTCTCAGTCTATCAAGAGCGACCACACACTCCCTCCAGGCAGTGCCAACTCGCCCCATTCTATATCGATCCACTCACTTCCGATCCCGGTCCCAGACTGCGCGCCCTCAGCCTCCTTAGTCCAAAGCCATCCTCCTCTCCCCCGCACAGTATTCTGGGAGTTGCAGTTCTCAAAGTCCTCTCAGCAGTGTGTCCATCTCTGCTCTGCACTGCGTTCCCCATAAATCTCTGTCTCTCTTCATCTCACACAGAGGCAATTAACTGTTTGCAGCCAGAATTATCGATCTATACAATAGCACATATATTCATCTATATAGGGGCTACACTTTATATAACCATCAAATTGTGATAGTGAACTCCTTAAACAGCTTTTTTGCCAAAAATATGTGGAATATGTTTTACAAAAAAGTTGTACAATTAAAACCTCTGTTTTTAATGCATACTGTTAGACAGGGCAAATTTGTTTTGTTGCAGGCTAGCTGGTAATTGTGCTGGCCTATTTCTGTTGTTTTGTATTGATGTAAGCCTTTCCATGCGCACCTTGCTACAAAGGCTAGTTATAAGTTGTGTGGTTGCCATGTACCTTTATCCTTGCTGTACCTTGCCTAGAATGCAAGTAGAATGTCAGAGGTCACTAACATAAATATAATAAAATATTATTCTTGTATTATATCCCTAGATAGCATTTTCTGCTATATATTCTCTTATGCTCATATTTATGTGGAGCATAATGTGATAATTCTCTTGTAGGAACACTTGTTCTTGTTGCCTGTAAGAGATATAGCATGAAAATAAAAGTGGTTATAATGTTGGTATGAGCAACAAAAATGTTTCATCCTTCAGACAATTTAATAAATAAGATCTTCCAGCATATTATAACAATATACTGTAAAGTAATGTTTAAATTCTATTTTTTTTGTTCTGTTGTAGTATTAGGTAACTGTTCATCTTAAAATATTCTGTAATTCTAAGGCTTTTTCACAAACTAAAAGTGTTTCATTCATTTCGTTTGATGAAATTAATATAGATGCTGTTTCAAATTTGGAGGCAACTAATCTCTAAATCCGAAAGTGCACATTTAAAAAACAGAATGTGCTGTAGCCATATTGGCCACTGGCATGTTCTGTGCATGACTGCTGCCATCATGGAGGTGGGACACATGATGTCACATGATGCCAGCATCAGGAGACGTCATACGAATGTATGGATCTCGTCATCTCGGACACAGCAAGATGGCGGTGACTATACAAAACAAATTACTATGTGCCCAAATATATTTTTTGTATAGTCGGGCATATGAGAATTAATTATTTCAGATTAGGATGAACTGCCAAATCAACGGAACTTCATGATTCAGCAAGTTCGTCCAAATCTAAATGCATATCTCTGCTGGTTATAACAATATTGAAAAAAGTTAGGAATATGGTAGAAAAATTGTACAGAAAAAAATATAACCGTGATCTACACTGCTGAGCAACACAATCACATGCAGTCACACAGAACCTACCAATCTAAATGTTCTTGATAAAATTTAAGAAAACAATATGTCTGACCTCCCACTTAATCAAGAATTCTTTAAATCGAGTCCCTAAAACCCTACAAAATCATTTTCCTTATGGATCAAGCTTATGCTGGTGACGCCATGAATACCCTTGCACTTTATTACATATCTTTTGGAATTGTAACAAAAATACAACATTTCTGGCTGAAATTGACTGATTAATCCACAAGATTGTGAACGCTTGACTAGACATGCAGCCAGCAACATATCTTGTACATTTAAACGACTCTACTAAAAAGCAAAACAAAGCCTCCTTATTGATACCACCACTTAAATGAAGCCAGAGCATGTGTGCCGGTAATATGGAAGTGTCCTAATCTGGCATCAATAGATATGTGTTTTCACAAAATTAATGACAATGATGTGGTGATGGTGGACCTAACTGCCGCCTTATACAATATGCCAGTATGTAAAGAAATAATAAACAAACAAGATTGACCTGAAGCCATTAAAAGCATTATACAAGTGTGAACAATTCTCTAATGG